AAATATCTATTCAGCCAATCACTTGGCAGCAACTCAATTCATTTAGGCATGTAGACATGATCAGTATGATCTGCTCAAGTTCAAACATACGTTTTTTTCAGAATGGAGAAGAAAGATGATTTAAGTGACTTTGAACGTAGCATGGTTGTTGGTGTCAGACGGGCTGGTCTGAGTATTTCAGAAACTGCTGATCTACTGGGAATTTCACAGAAAACCATCTAGGGTTACAGAGAATGAGAAAATATTCAGTGAGTGGCAGTTCTGTGGACGAAAAGGATTTGTTGATGCCAGCAGTCAGAAGTGAATAGAATGGCTCAAGCTGATAGAAAAGCAACAGTAAAACACAAAAGCAGAAGAGCACGGGCTCACCAAAACACACTAGAAGATTGAAAACAGGTCACCTGGTCTGATGAGTCTTGATTTCTGCCGCAAAATTTGGATGGTATAGGGTCAGAATTTGGCGTAAGCAACATGAAAGCAAGGACCCATCCTGCCTTGTATCAATGGTTCAGGCTGGTGGTGGTGTAATGGTGTCAGGGATATTTTCTTGGCACACTTTGGGACCCTTGGCACCAATTGAACATTGTTTAAATGCCACAGCCTATCGAAGTATTGTTGCTGACCATGTCCATGCCTTTATGAACAGTGTACATATTGTGATGGCTATTCCAGCAGGGAAATGCACCATTTCACAAAGCTCAAGTCATCTCAAACTGTTTTCTTGAACATGTGATTGAGTTTACTACGTATACTCAAATGGCCTCCATATTCACCAGATCTCAATCCAATAGAGCACCTTTAGCATGTGGAGGAGAGTTGCAATATAGATGTGCAGCCTACAAATCTGCAGCAAATACGTTATGCTATCATGTTAAAAGGGTCATATGATGCGATTTCAATTTTTCCTTTCTCTTTGAAGTGTTACAAGCTCTTGGTGCATAAAGAAGATCTGTAAAGTTGCAAAGACTAAAGTCTCAAATCCAAAGAGATATTCTTTATAAAAGTTAAGAGTCAGCCACGCCTACCTAAAACGGCTCGTTCTAACACGACCCCACATGTCTACGTCACGATGTGGGAAGATTTGCATAACGCCGCCCAAATGTTCACGCAAATAAAGAAGGCGTAACTTTTATTCTCGCTGTTGTATTGTTGCCACCGCCGCCATGCCGTGGAGTGTTTCGTGTTTCGTTGTGAAAGCGATATCCGCTTTGTCATGCCTAGAGCTGATCCGTGCTGGTCGCTGAGGAAATACATCAATTCGCGCTGTGGATCGCCGGATCGGCTTTCACCGTGGACGAAGCGGAGTCCAGCCCGGGGTCGTCACATGTGGTTGCCGCAAGCCCGCCGGCCGCCACTCACTCCAGCCGCTGGCCGTTCCTCACTCTAGCCGCCGGTCTTCGCACACTCAAGGCCGCCGCTGTGATGCTGTGTTTAGTTGTGAAAGCGAAACTACTTTGTTTGGCCTTCCAAAAGAGGGCACGACTAGAAATCCGTGGTTAAATTGTATTTACAACACTGTTCCAGAACACTTCAACCCAAATATTCAGATGTGTGCAGCACATTTTATGGAGGACTGTTTCCTGATCCTGGTAGAGTAGACTACAATGCCGGCTGTTCTGACTCACAGACTGTAAGTACGTTTTTTTATATTTAAAGAATTTGCCACTGATGATTCAAATGCAAGTTTTGGGCAGTGTAGAGTAGCGCTTGTTGTTTGTCATTTCTCCGATCACAAATGCAGACATGGTTTTATGTTTATGCGGCGTGCCGCAATGCAACGTGTAAAAAGACAGTATAAGTCATTATAATCCGTAATTATGTCCCCACTGGATGCAACAAATTCCTCGTTTTAATGTTTTTTGTGTCATCGCTCTGGCCTGACAGGACATCACAGTATGGTAGGGGCGTAACATTTCCATCACACGCTTGAGGTATTCGGCCAATCACAACGCACTGGATAGCTGGCCAATCAGAGCACACCTCGCTTTTCAGACCGATGAGCTTTGTAAAAATTGAAGCGTTTCAGAAAGGCGGGGCATAGAGGAGAAACAATAGTGTACAGCATGTGGAAAATAATGTGTTTTTTAACCTTAAAACGCATAAACACATTTCAATACACCAAATAATGTTATTTTTAGCAGCATCATATGACCCCTTTAATATGGACCATGGATGGATCTCTGAGGAATGTTTCCAGCACTTTGTTGAATCTATACTATGAAGAACTGAGACAGTTCTGAAGTCCAACACCGTACTAACAATGTGTAGATAGATTTAAATATAGGTTTCCTCTTTTTAACAACATTAATTCACAGGTCCTTGACACTACTAAAGTCTGCTTCACGCTTTAACTTACCAACAAGAAAAAAGTCAGACTCAGCTGCCAATCAGTTTCCAAGTTAACCTTTAACTCAGATATGCTGAAAGTAGACCATTTGTGTCATTTAATTACAACCTGTACTGCATTACAAGAAAGGAAACATCATCATCTGTATTATCTTGTTGAAAGATCGCAGTGAGGTAAGGTGATGGTCTTTTCAAATGAAAGATTCTGTGATGGTAAGTCTGGTTAAAACTTTTAAGTGCATTGCTATGAGTCAAAACTGAAACTTCTGTCTAGTGTGCTTAAGAAATGAAACTATTTCAGCCAGCATTCTTCCCGTCTCTGTGGTGTCTGTGGCCCAAATTATATTGTTAGGACAAAATTGCAGTGAGAAATTGATTGTAAAATATTTGATTTGGCATTTTGTTTTGTTACACTAAAAGTAACAAATCCCTGTCTGTATGATTTTAAAAGCACCAGCTCTTAATTTAGAAGCCAAGCAGACACATTCAGTCTGTTTTTTCATGTTTTTGACTCATCAAGTCATCCAGTTTATTCATTCAGACACAGAAAGATACATGAAACGCTATGCGATGTAGTGCTTTAACCAAAGTGACTTTACAGCACAGTTTTGACATATTCAATCTTCCAGCAGTAATGTGCAGTGACGAGTAATGCTCATGGATCAACCCTTGATGTGTTTAAACCTACAACCTTCCAGAAAGCTAAAATAATCAAATATAATTGTATGTAAATTAATCAATATAAACAAAAACAACAAGTCAATGACATTCTATAAGTTCAAGGGTTTAAACAGAGAGTTCTGGAGGCACCAGCGGGTGTGAAAACCACTCTGAAGTGCATGAAAAACAGCACCGGGAAATAGCAGCTATGTATGCCATACACTAGATGTGAGAAATTATTGCTTACACATTTGAAAAATGTGTTTTTCTCTTGTGTGCAGAAGCAGCAGGTGTGTATGCCACAGTGGAACAGGGGTCAATCTATAGACAGCAGAAACTGAAGCCATTATTTAATTTCAGGTTTCCTGTTTATCACACTCATTTTCACAGAAAACAGGGTTAACTAGTGAAACGAACATCTCACCTTTACAGTGCTTATAGAATGTTTTGTTTAAATTTAGAGTAAAAGTAGAAGAGCAGGAGAGGGTGTGGTGTGAGAACATTCAAATTATGCTAAAAAAAAAAAAAAAAACAAGCAGACAAGTGTAAGACAAATGACTTGGATGCTTGTAATTGGATATTAAATAAATCACCAAAGTTAGAACAGTGAATCTTGCCAAAGCACATATATATTTCAGAGACTATCATGCTCTTGTACGTAAATGTACACTGACATTTAGCCTAATGCAGTCACACGCACACACAAAAAATGGGACTCCCCACACTGGAGAATTCAGTTATTCTGGAAAAGTTCTGAACATTGTCTCACCACATGAAAAAAAAATGGTGCTTCAGATTTAGGTAATAGGTGACCTCACAGGAACAAATTAGTCATTGCTTTTCATGCAATACAGTGTTTGCATATGGAATTAAGATTACAAATGTTGATTGCAAACATTTAAAGTGCATTGGAAAGCTTTATCAAAAGCCACATCTTCTCAGAAGTAAATAGAATAGTATATTTGGGGACAGACAGCAGCCGGAAAGAACCTTTTAAATTTCTGCTTAGTGAAAGTAGAACAGCTCTGAAAATATTGTAAAAACCATGTAAAAAATAAATAAATAAATAAATGCTAAAATGTGTATGTCTTTGTGTTGTCATCATTTTTATATGTATTACTGAGTGTATACAACCTTAACACTAAGGAATCTACAGGAAATGTAAAAAAAAAATCCAGCCAGAAGTGTTTCATTAGATAAAAGAAGTTGTGAAGAACAAAATCGTGGAATGCGGTCTGTATTCTCAACCTTTATGACAAATAAGTTAGCTACTGTAGTTACGTACGGCTATAAAGCAGGCATTTATGTTCTTTAATTCATCGAAACCTTGTTTTAGGTGGTTGCCAACAGGTGCAAATAGGATGTTTCAAACTAAACAGGGAAGTCTTTCAAAAGCTTGCAGATGTAATTTTCAACTTCTAACAATAGAACAAAGAGCTGGGCCCTTTCACAACTACTGTCACACCCAACGATGCTGCAAACCGCACGATAAAGAAGCAAAATAACACATTTGATCAAAACTGAAGAAAAATCTAAAGTGCATTTTTCCATCTAATATCCACTAAAATTCTACCATACTAATTCACAATTAAAACTATATAATAAATGAAGCTGGATTATTTCCCCCTCATTAATACATGAATATAAGTATATGTTTAAAATAAATAAATAAATAATTATCCTTTTTTTCTCTACTTATGTTATTGGCAATTGTGTCACAATTTTCACAAATTCAGTAACCAAATTAAATTATTAAAGTAAACCTTAACAGGGGTTATAAAATCCTGTTGCGTTTCATCCTTCTGAAACCACAGCTGAACACAGAGGACACGTGTAGGATGGCAACTAACATGTGACAGCGAGAGGTCCTCACTCGAAAGAGAACTACTGAGAAAAAGGAAAAAAAAGGGCAGATCTTGATCAGAAACACAGGAAATTATGTCATGGTTACAAAAGCAGAGTGGAAACAGTATTTCATTGCTCAGTCGGGTGTGTGTTAGAAAACGTGGTTAATGCCGGACCAGGAGGTGCCACTTTTTACACTGCAATGATCAGACCACTAGACACAACACAGACACAAAAACTGGGGCACAAGAAAGTGTTGGTAAGTACATATGTTTTTATAATAATGGTTGTGAAGGACTTATTGAAACTCTTTTGATGGATCACACAAATAGTACTTAATCATCAATACTCTAGGAAACAGCTCAGGAGAAATTTGCATACTTTGTATTTGAAGCTGTTTTGACCAGTTCTTTCTTCAGTTAGTATATGTGAAATGATGTTCAAGCTGAATTTTTATATTATTAATTATTAATGTATTCATTTTTATAATAATAATTTATTTTAGATAGATAGATAGATAGATAGATAGATAGATAGATAGATAGAAATAATTGTGCGAATTCAATTTAATATAAGCTGAAATATCCATTCTAGTTTGTTGTATTGCTTCAGAGCATGTGATAACTGCGTGTACTGGCAGATGGATGATTCATTAACATACTACAAATCTATCCATTGCATGGTTGCTACTCTACAGTGAAACAATTGTGAATGATTGCAAAATGCTAAAGCATCATATTCATCAAAAATATGCTGTTTCTTTTCAGTCTCTTTTAAATCCGAAAAGTGGACATAAGCTTTGCAGAAGTATACTATCCATTACACATTCATTGTTACCCCATCACAGAGAACTGTGTTCTGCTCAGACGTGTTTTTCTAGAAGTCAAGGTCTTTGTGAGGGTGCAGAATTTGGGCAGTTGTAGGACTGACAGGAAACACCTTTCGCAGCTCCAATGGAGTGCAGTGCTTGTCTGGACCTCCTGTCTTCACATTTGCACTGATGATAGATTAAAACTTCCTTGCCATTCACAGCGATATCACAAACTTCTCTACATGCACGTAAAAATTATTTGACACATTCATAAAAATGTTGTTGTAGTGAGTAGTCAGTTTGGGGGCGAGTGCTTTGAAACCACAGGTGGATAATGGCATTTACTTTGCCTGCAATGTATGCCCGTTACAAAAAAAAAGACACAAACTGCTTGCACTTCCTTAGTGAAACAACACTGTGTAACCTGATACAAGAATGGAATGATTTTCTCAGTTCTGTAGTAATGTATCTGTTTTCCCTTTTTCAGATTTCATAACTGACCCCATGGAGATAGTAGTAGCTACAAACACCACCCAAAATGACTCAGACACCTGTACCAACCTGTATGACCATCATGGTTGGGCACAGTATTTCCTGCCTACAGTGTATTCTCTGATTTGCATTGTGGGACTGCTGGGCAATGTGTTGGCTTTGCATGTCATCTGGCCTAATTTAAAAAAAATTAACTCCACAACTCTGTATTCTGCCAACCTGGTGGTGTCGGACATCTTGTTTTTGCTTGCTCTGCCCTTGCGTACGGTTTACTATGCCAAGGGGTTCCACTGGCCAATGGGGGAGGGTTTGTGCAAAGCCGTGGCGCTGTTGTTCTACATCAACATGTACGCCAGCGTCAACTTCATGACTTGTTTGAGCGTGGACCGTTTCATTGCAGTGGTGCTGCCACTGCGCTTCTCCCGATTCCGAAAGGTTCAGAAGGTGCGGTACATCTGTGCTGCCGTATGGGTCCTTGTGTTGATGCAGACCCTGCCTTTGTTGTCGATGCCCATGACGAGCGTGGAAAAAAGTGGTCACATAACGTGTATGGAGTATCCCAACTTCGAGAAGATTGACAACCTGCCTGTCATGCTCATTGGTGGCGTGTTGATTGGCTTCGGCATCCCTGTGATCACCATCCTGGTGTGTTATTCCGCACTGTGCTCCAAGCTCCGCCTCCTGGCCAAGTCTAATAAACTGACAGAGAAGTCAGGTCGTAGTCGCAAAGCCATCGGCGTGATTTGCACCGTCATTCTCGTGTTTATGGTGTGCTACACCCCTTATCACATCGACCTCCTGCAGTACATGATCAGAAAGCTGCGGTACAAGCCAGACTGCTCAGAACTGCATGACTTTCAGATCTCTCTTCACATCACTGTCTGCTTAATGAACCTTAACTCATGTCTGGATCCCTTCATCTACTTCTTTGCCTGCAAGGGATACAAGAAGAAGGTACTCAAACTGCTCAGGAAGCAAGTGAGCATGTCCTTCTCGAGCGTGGTCAGGACCTCGCCTGAAGGCTCCTCCAAAGACGTGTTTGCAAACGACAAAATCCATATGAGCTCCAGAAGCACTCAGAAAGAGAGGAGCAGTGTGCTGTTGAGCACCAGCAATGGTTTTGAAAGATAAACAACAACAAGAAATGCAGTTCACTGACTATATGAGACTTAATATCAGAGCAAATTTCTTACCTCTGGATTATTTTACACGCTGTTCAAGTTATTGTTTCAGATGGTTGTTAATATTTTGCTATGCTGTTTAAAGATTATTGCACATTTGTCTTACATATTGTAGTTCATTTGAGTGCTAGAATTTGTTAATTTTTTAAAAATTTATATTTTGAATAATAATAATAATAATAATAATATTAAAGCTGCAAGCAGCGTTGAAAGGGCCCTTGCACCCGGGCTCACTGCCACCCAGTGGCTTCAGGAAGACTGGGAACGGTGAGCAATATGCATTTAAAGAGGCAAATATAGAAGGAATGTCAAAGTAGTTTATATCTGCCAAACTTCCTGCTGCCAGCTGGTGGCGCTATGTCTATAACTGAACATTGGCATGTAGATGTCTTCAGACCAGTACTTTTATCAAACATATGAAGTTTGGTGCAGATTGAGCATGGTATAATTGAGTTAGTGTAAAGCATGACATATCATTGTCAACAGGTGGCGCTATGATTATATCTTGGTTGTTAATATTTTGCTATGCTGTTTAAAGATTATTGCACATTTGTCTTACATATTGTAGTTCATTTGAGTGCTAGAATTTGTTAATTTTTTAAAAATTTATATTTTGAATAATAATAATAATAATAATAATATTAAAGCTGCAAGCAGCGTTGAAAGGGCCCTTGCACCCGGGCTCACTGCCACCCAGTGGCTTCAGGAAGACTGGGAACGGTGAGCAATATGCATTTAAAGAGGCAAATATAGAAGGAATGTCAAAGTAGTTTATATCTGCCAAACTTCCTGCTGCCAGCTGGTGGCGCTATGTCTATAACTGAACATTGGCATGTAGATGTCTTCAGACCAGTACTTTTATCAAACATATGAAGTTTGGTGCAGATTGAGCATGGTATCATTGAGTTAGTGTAAAGCATGACATATCATTGTCAACAGGTGGCGCTATGATTATATCCGAATATTGGCCTTTAGATGTCTTCAGGCCAGGACTCTTACCAAATATGTGAAGTTTGGTGCAGATTGGAGATTGCATGTTTAGGTTAGTGTAAAACAAGTAATTTCCTGTTGCCAGCAGGTGGCACTATGATTATAATGGAATATTGGCATTTAGATGTGTTCAGGCCTGGACTCTTATCAAACGTGTGAAGTTTGGGGCAGATCGCACATTGTATGGCTTAGTTACAACAACTTCTATTCCCATGGCGAAACATCAAACTTTGTCACGCGGCCACGGGCTCGCCCTTTAACGAAAACTTAAGATCTCCGCAATTTAACATCACAAAGGCCTTTAGATTAGACTGACCAAATATAAAGTTGATGTCATTAAATCTTTAGGAGGAGTTCGTTACAGAGTAAAACATGTCACTTCCTGTTGCCAGCAGGTGGCGCTATGACTATAACTGAATATGACCATGTAGCTCTCTTCAGGTCAGGAGTCTTACAAACATGTGTAGTAGGGCTGCACGATTAATCAAAATTAAATTGCAATTAGGCAGAAGCTGCGATTGTTATGAGTATCTTTCAGTGAAGCACGGTTCTGTGATCAGCAGTAAATCTCCATCCGAAGGCCAGATGGCGCTCTCACGCTGAAACTCCAAATACACCACACAGAAGAAACCCAGGAAATCCCTATAGTGGTTGCTGAATAAACAGAAGATTTAACTGCTTTCATTAATTCAACATGACTAATAAACACACGACTACGACAATATATGGTTTATCCGAGTTCGTCTTATTATAATTTTTATTATAATAAAGTATATAATAATGCAATGCTAATCGACATAGCCTTCATCACTGCTTAGAATAAGGCACACAACATATTTCATAGTATTCTGTGTAAGAAGCCACATCATCTCACAGAAGGATTTATTTAAAACACTCGACTGACGTTATGAAGTGAGTTTGGAGTAAAAACGTTATTAAATGTGGTATTTTCACGTGTTTTCAGGTGGAGCAGCATTTACTACACAGAGCCATAGTTCACTGACAAGCTACACAAACAGCTTTCATAATCGCAGAACGATTTCTTCGATTTCATAATTGCATGATTAAATCATCTTGTCAGTGAACTACGGCTCAGTGTAGTAAACGCTGCACATTCTGAAAGCACGTGCTGGAGATTTACTACAAATCACAGAACCGGCTTTACTGACAAGATGCGCATGACAATCGCATTCGATTAATCGTGCAGCCCTAATGTGTAGTTTGAAGCAGATCGGACATTGTATGGAGTTATAACAACTTCCTGTTTCATGGCGAAACATCGAAATTTGTCAGGCTGCCACGGACATGCTCTTCAACGAAAACTCTAGATCTTCACAATTTAACATCACAAACGGCTTTAGATTACACTGACCACATTTGGTGTTCATCTGATTAAATCTCTAGGAGGAGTTCGTTAAAGTACAACACCTGAAAATGGCAAAAACGACACAAATTTTGCCAAGAAAATTCAAAATATCCAACTTCCTGTTGGGTTTCGGATTTCTTACCAGGAGAAATTTTTGTAGGTATAGGGGTGTTACATGTGTCTACCGACTTTCGTACATGTACATGCTCGAGGCGCACTTCGTTGAAAGTGTACAGGTGGCGCTATCTAGCCATTTTGCCACACCCACTTCTAAAACCTCTATCAGACAGTGGTGGCTCGTCGGGGGAGGCAGCTCAGCTTCCGCAAAATTTTGAGGTGAAAATGGGAGAAATACGATTTAATGTTAATAAAATTCACAATTCATTTCAGTTCTCGTCTCAGAATGTATATTTTTTGTTTGTAATTTCACAGCTGTAATACCATAGCATGTTAATGAAGTTGGAAAGCACCGCTTTTCAATCACCATCGAGTGTTCACTTTCAGCGCTGAGGAGTGTTGAGAAAAGAAACCTCGCAAGGGAGGCTAGCCTCCCTTCTGGTATATCAAACAATCATCATAGAGACGTAAAATACGTGATATTAGTTTGAACGTCTCCCGCTGCACTGATAATGTACCAAGTATTTATGATGAGTAGCGATATTGAATATTTGATCGCCAACAGATTTACCAAGAACCTCGGTGCTCGGGCCCTAAAAATAGCTGAAATATCATATACAGTATATATATATATATATATATATATATATATATATGCAGTGACATGCCACAGCAAATGTGTATTTGACAAATGTGTACCAAGAAATGGTGCTTGTGGTGATTTTAGTTTAGACCAATGACTCAAATCTTCTGATTCCAGTCATAAGAAAATATTTAATCACTGATTCTTCAGTGACCCTTTTGATCCTTAATAATTCCAACACTGAGATGTGACCAATTAATCACTAAATAACTATTTTTGTTTTGACTGAAGTCTCTGACTTCAGTTGAATGCTAATGGTTGGTGATTTTACCTGCCCTCAAATAGTATAGCACAAGCACGTAGTATTATAATGTTGGCTAGGACAGTGCAAATAAGTGAGCAAAAACAATCATGACCAAAACCCCCTTAAGTGAGCGGTCTTACTGGAAAGAGTCACACTTTTATCTCAATGGTTCCTGCAGCATTAATAGTGTCTCAGGATGATAAACCTGACAATCACACTGACAATGTCATCATATATTTAAATCAGCCAGATGAGCTTCCAAAGCACACAGCAAGGCTTGCCTGAATTTATGATGTCAAATTTGGAACTGTTGCAACATATGATCAAGATGGATAAATTAGTATTTAAATACTTTTGACCAACAACTAGCTATGTTTACATGGTAGAGCTGTAGTCAAGTCCAGCTTTGTCGAGTTCAAGACCAGGACTAGTTGAGACCGAGTCAAGATTTCGGTCTTGCTTCAATATCAATTAATGTGCATACTGTAAATATAAGGGATATAAAAAATCTTTTGTTGAATGCTGTTGAATGCCTTTTTAGCACCATTTTAAACTTAAATTCAGTATTTGCTTGAATTCATTGTGTGCAATTATGCGAGTAGGCTATCATTAAAAAAGGATGTAAGTTATTAACTTTTTTTAATTTCTCATTTCAAAATCTAGTGTTTAATCATGTCTAAATATTTATTCAAATGAAAAACTTAAAAATAAGTAAGCAGGTATGACCTGCAATATTCTAGATATATTTAATAAAGAGCCATACAGGTACCTAGGGGGTAAACCCCACTGACATCATTACAAATGAAAATGATTATTTTTTCTGACCACAAAATTACTCTAATTCGCATTGGAATTGAAAACCCTTTTCTCTATTTTAACCTTAAATACTACACTAATTGTAATATAAGTAATATAAATATTAGAAAATTATATGTTAAGTAATTACACTAATGGACTATAATTATTGTACAAATAGTATTTAGTACCAAAAGATCTCCTCAAAATATCAAATAAATATTTTTGAACTAAAACATACAACACATATTTAACTGAAAAATAGTTAAGCTGTATGGTCACATTATAAGCAATACCCGAGGGTTAAGAAAACCATATTAATGTTGCCTCTCCATCACTCTCCAGAATAAAATGGTATAGTAAATGTCATCGACGTAATAATCAATTCATAATATGCTGTAACGTTTACCAAAAATTGCTGCAAATACCTGTATAATGAAGCTGTCGTCTGTCCATTCAAATGTATTGACAACGCTGGTTTGTTTGGAGAGCTCCGTGAACCACGTGACCGCGTGGCGACGCCGGCGAGATCCAAGCTTGTCGCAACTCTGTTTTTCAATGGCTCTGGCTTTAACTGAAGCGCTACATTTACGCCACATTAAGTGCGCCAAAACGGTATTTATTGTTTGAATTTAGTATTAAAACGTACAAAATTTGAAAGCTGAGACTTTGTTTCATATCGCAAGCAGGGTTGCCAATTTGGAGTGAGATTTACATGGGCAGAGTGAGAGCGTGAGACAGAGCCTGGAAGCGTGTGTCTCATGCCAAATGCGTGAGAGTTGCCCTGCTTTAGCTCAAAAGTTCCAAAAGGGTCTGGCTGCAGCTGGCGAAAACTTAACATTTAAAAGAAAAACTAAAAATAAAGCTAAAAACAATTCAAAATATTAAAGAACAAAAGGTATAAGAGTATAATAATGATTCTAACATAACACTAAGCCAAACACCAAAAAAACTACAAATGTGTGTATGTACAACCACACACACATACAACGGATTTGCGGGTCTTGTTTTTTTCTTGCAGGACCCTGTAGGTTACGGTACTAAATTAGTTGTAATCGTTTAATCACCACCACATCGTCTTGTCTCCATTGGCAAGACGCACGATTTGTGTCAATTGCAAGTGACTTCGCAGGTATCGGAGAGTGCAAGTGGCGATTGCAAGTGACTTCGTAATTTAGTTTATTTTTTCTTGTCTTCACCACCTGGCTACTGGTGTAAAATGTTGAGAGATTCAAACAAAAAGAGATCAATAAATAGAACAAAATAAAAAAAAATAAAGACTGCAAGTGACGTCGCTAGCGGAAGTGCAAGTGTCTGAGAGTGCAAGTCTGAGAATGCAAGTGTCTGAGAGTGCAAGTTTGAGAATGCAAGTCTGAGAGTGCAAGCGCCAGCTGCAGCCAGACCCTTCTCAAAAGTTCAGTTGCAGTGGCTATTACCAAAGGATACGCTTTCTACAACAATCAAGTTGAGAACATATACAGGCTAATGGAGGCGTTACAAAATGTACCCTGGTGAAATTGTGTGTGTGTTATGTGTTTTTATTGGCTGGTTGCCCTCTTTTAAATGGAAAAAATTCTACCTTTCTGGGAAAACAGCATAAACAGCTATGCACAATCAGCTTGTAACACTCCAAAGAGAAAGGAAAACTTGAAATCGCATCATGTGACCCCTTTAGAGCCAGGTACATTTTGAATTCATTGCAATGACAACAAATAGCCAGAAGAGGGAGCCACAAAGCCGAAAGTAAACATTATGAATACGACAACAGATGTCACTTCTTCCCTTTTACATGGGAAACTTTGTGCATGCTTATATTGATATATCATATCATATCAT